CATTCCTCTCCATTCCCTGCTCTCCAGACAACCACCCTCTTTTGTTTCTGTAACACATCCCCTTTTGACCCACAGGGATAAGCTCCTTGTCTTTGGGTTTCTTTGTTGTTGGGCTGGTTGGTTTGGCTTGGTGGCTTTTAACATGGAAATCAAGGGAAACATTTAATATATATACTTGCTGATTCAGCTAATCAAAGGCTCTCCTTCTGGTACTTTCAATTGTTCTGGAAACTTTGTTTTAATCTCTGTTGTGATACAGTACTGTGTTTGGGGTGTGGCATGTTTACAGTTCTTCAGGCACTCAAGTGGGCATGCATGCACACACACACCATTTTCTTCTGGTGCTTCAGCTGGCAGCTGTACTTGCTCAGCACTGTCCTTGGAGCTGCTACTAGACCCAAGCTGGGGGTGCAGCAACCCAATCCCAGGGTACATGGTACTGAACATGGCCTTAGTAATAAGGAATCTGGTTGATAGCCATACTTCACAAACGGCTTTTGTTTCCTGTGTTGGAGGAGATGTGTATCATTTATCACAATGATTGTTAATTTGCCATCACAGTTAATGGAAATTTTAAGGCACACCTAAATTTAAAAGAATCCTCACCACCACCACCCCCAGGAATTGATCTCAGAGTATAGTTTTTAGTGTAATGTTGGTCTTAGAAATGTCTGCTATTCTATATGCATTTTTTAAAATTATAGTTCTCAGTGATTTCTATTAATTCTAGTAATTTCAACAAGGTCCTAGGCTTCTTGCAGTTACTTTTGTTGTTTTGGGCTTTCAGAAGACATGGTCTTGGGTATGTATGCTAGCAGGCCTTGAGTTCACGATCTTCCTCTCTGTTAATGCCATCTGTTTGTGTCCAGTTTCCTCATCCCCTGTCCCCATGCTGAGATTACAGGTATGCACCACACTAATTGTATATCACCCCACCTCTCTACCCCCACCCAACCCTGCCCCCATATTAGGGATTGAACCTAGGTCTTCACAAATGCTAAACAATCTACCACCGAGCAGCCCATAATGCCAGTCCTGTCCCTATAGGTCCTTCTGTGAGGAAGTAACAAAAACTTGCCTTTTCACTTTGATGAAATATTACATAAAAGTCACTGACAGTGATATCAAAATCCCTAATGGTGATTTTCAAAATATTTGGAAATATCCATTATTTTGATAATAAAAAACAGAGGAGTTTATATTTTAACAATTTTATTCCTTTTTATGTCTTTGATTTTGTAGTTAATACACACTCTGGATTAATTTTACTTAAATTTTTTGTATTTACTCATTTAGATTGGGAGGACATACAGAGACTAGTGGACAACTTGCAGGAGTCGATTTGCTTGTTGTACCATTCGGGTTCTGGAGAACAAACTCAGGTTGTCAGGCTTGGTAAAGTGCCCTTAGCTGCGGGTACCACCTTGTGGGCTTTATTGTTTTGATTCTGTATTGTGTTCTAAACAGCAGTAGAACACATTCAGTCATTTTCTTTTGGATTCTGAGAGTGAACTCTGATCAGATGGTGCCTAGCTGTAGGTTTTCTGTACTACAGCCTCGTTTCCCATTTCCTCTATCCTTTTTACCTTCACTCTTGAAATGTATTTAAAGTCCCACTGATGTTCTTTTTTTCTGTTGTGAGAGTTGGTGACTTTCAAAGACTTGTAATATAAATCAGTTGAGGATTAAGTTGAAATAATAATCATTCTTGTGCTTGTGGATTTTTAAGAGCTTATTAATTTTTAAAAATAAAAGCAGATATTCAGAAGTGAATGCTAGACACAGAATTTTCAGTTGTTATTTCTGTACTTTGTTTTAGCCTGTTTTGCACTACATCAACAGAGGAATAATTTTAGTAACAATTAGCATTTAACCAACCTGATACAGTGTATGTCAGTTCTTTAATACAGAAGAGTAAAAGAACCAGCGCAAGGAAGGACAGGTTGCCTGGCTACAAATAACCGCATTATAATTATATTAGTGTTTGGTATTACCTCAGTATTTTTAGAATCTGTGATCAGGTGGTTTATTTGTTCATCTTTCCTGTCACTTTCTGTAGGATCACATAGCTTGCTAACAGTTAACCTCATAGATAACTTTGGAACAGAACTTGTTTTTAACTGGTCTTTTGATTTTCTCGTGGGCGGTCCAAGCTTTGTAAAAGTGGAGTCCTTTCTTTTTCAGCTTACTTCATATCATGATTCAGTTAAGTGAACATGACATACACTGACATTCATCTCAAGCTATATTGGAGTTGCAACTTATCCTGGAGTTTATTTTTTCATTTCAAATTTCAAGTTTTTGTCTAATTTTGAAGTTAATCTAAAATCTCAAATTTTGAAACATTTCTTCAGAGAAGTCAAGCATTCCTGACATTGATGCCTTCCATTGAATGCAGGCAGAACTTAAAACTTATGGATAAACTTTTGCCTATCTTAACAATAAGAAATAGTTTGTTTTGTTTTGTGGTCCAAACCCCACCTATAGGTAGGCCAAATAAGACTCTTTTCTGGGTGTGGGGGAATTGTATGGCAGGGTCTGGCCTTGAAGATAGGATTACCCTGCCTCGAGCTCCTCAATGCTGGAATTGCAGATGTGTGCCTCTACGGCCAGCTTAGTAATAATACCTGAACATAAGGAATCCTTTTACCTTAAGCTAGCTTGAAGGCAGGTTTACATGAGTCCATTCTTACTGCAGGTAAGGTAGTCTTAGTGTTGGGTTTGTTTATTTTAGCTTTTTGAGACAGGGTCTCCTATAGCCTGAGTTACCTTTAAACTTGATAGGTAGCTTAAGCTAGCCTTGAATTCTTGATCCTTCTGCCTCCACCTGCCAAATGCTAAGATTATAGGTGTGTGCCACCATGCCTAAGTTGATGATTCTTTTGTTTTGTTTTGCTTTGCTTTTGTTTTGTTTTCCAAGACAGGGCTTCTCTGTGTAGCTTTGGAGCCTATCCTGGAACTCGCTCTGTAGACTAGGCTGGCCTCGAACTCACAAAATCCATCTGCCTTTGCCTCCCGAGTGCTGGGATTAAAGGCGTGCGCCACCAACACCTGGCTCAAAGTTGATGATTCTTATACCTCACCACTAATAACCTAACTTACTCTTACCCAAGATTCTCTTTATACTAAAGCTGTTGATGCCTAAACTTTTTATTACTTTTAAATTAACTGCCTGTCTTAATAGCTGACAGAGTGAAAGTTCATGGTTCACTGTAAGATCATGCTTGCAAATTTGGATATTGTTCAGTTCAAGACATTTATTGGCCCCCCTCTCCTACTCTGTATGCTGTGTTGACTAAATAGACTGTATTCCAGGTGCCTTTCTGGGGACTCGAGCAGATCTGCATCAGCTTTACAACAGTAGAATCCATCTGTTAGGGCAGTTTGGAAATCCATTTCTCTCTTCTAGTTTGTGTGTTTTCTTTCTCTTTGTTCTGCTTTTAATTCTGGGAAGATTCTGTAGGGTTTGTCTTTGGTGAGATGCTGGTTGATGGCAAAGACCAATGCCACTGGCGTTGGCCTGTAACTTTGACCAGAAGATTTCATTTGCTCTGTGATTCATGAGAAGCATTGATCTGTAAACTTGCATGGTGGCCGTCCATGTTAAACCATCCCTGTCTGTGGACAAATTGCCTTGCTCATTTTTAGGTCTTGTTGCATTTTCTTTCTTTTTTTCCCCTCTTTTTTTAAATTTAAATTAGAAAAAATGTTGTTTTACATGTCAATACCAGTTCCCTCTCTTCCCATTCCCCCCGCCCCCCACCGACTCCCTATCCCATCCCCTTTCTGCTGCATTTTCTTTTTAATTAGGCATAAATCTCAGATCTTTAAAATATTAGCTTCACAAGTGAGTTCAGGGATCATCAGCTGTAAGAAGTAATAATTATTTCGAGCAAGTTGTTCTGGAAGGCCCCTAGTAGAGCTGTTGGTTGAGAGGATGAGTTGGACGAAGTAGGGCTAAGGTTTAGTCACACACACGCGCTGTAAAGTGGAATTATCAGTTTGGACCTGCCAAGGCCCTATGGATTTTGCTCTAAGGTTGTTGTATCCTCACTATTAATTAGTAAAATGTCTTTAACCAACTGTTGAAATTGTTTTAGAACCAGCTGTAAGCATACAGTGGTACTGAAAAAGCTGCCCAGTAGCTTTCACAAGTAACAGGCAGACTTTATTCATTTATTTACTAACTTATTGCCACTGCCATGCATCAAACTCAGGCTTTCATACACACCAAGCATACACTCTACCACTGATCCTGTACCCCTAACCTGCAGCTAGGTGTTTTCTCTTAAGGTAAAGTTCAATAAATAGGATAGGGTAGTAATTCATACTTTTAGGATCATAATTCAGATATACATTAAAAGTGGTATACTGAATATTCTGTTTGGTGATATCAGTTTCCTACCGAGTTTGTCATGATATATGTGTATCAGAAGATTTTGGTATTAGCATATTGTAAATGTCAAGAAATTAATCTGTCTTGTGCATTTCCCATTTAAGTAATGAGGGTGTTATTTATGCATTTTAAAGTATTACATATTGTACTTTGTGTCCTATATTATTGAAGGAAAATAATTATAAGTGAAAACATATTTCAATTTAAAATTTTATTTTAAATTTTTATTCAATGGAAAAACATATTTTCAGTGGCAAAACTAGAGATCTTTCTCTAATTTCCTGTCTGTATTTTTATAAATAAAATGAACTGCATGGCTGAAATCTAAAATTACTTTTTCATTGGAAGTTAGAGCAATGTTATATTTTTTAAATAAATCATTAAGTATCTTGAGCATTATTTGGATTTGATTCAAAATAAAGCTAGGATTTGTTTTACATCATGGCACATACTTACATTTACTTGTATTCAGTCAATATAATTTTAAAAATAACAAGGATTTGCATACAAGTGGAACTGTATTCACAGATACATTCTTACAGTCACAGTACAATTTATTTTATAAACTGTACCGGTAAAAATTAACTGTGCCAAGTAACATGTAATGTTTACATTTGGGGAACTGAAAGGTGAAGTTGTGTGTCTTGGAGACTGTCTGTCTTCAGTCAATAGGCTTGATCATCATCTGAACTGCCCTCAGAGAATACGACCCGCCTCTGTATTCAGCCCAGAAAATTCCATCTTGGTGCTTGCTTCTGTAATGGCCTCCTCTGTACCACACTCCATTGAGGTTAGAGTGTGCACAGGCATTGTACCACCAGCCTCCTTTATGAAAATGGGCACAGTTTCCTGCAGGAGAAACACAGACTGAGGTCAAAGCCCTTCTGCATATGGTACTGGTAGACTCAAGAATGTGTGCTTCCTTTGGAGTGATTAGAGTGACTGCACTCATGTTTGTCTTGGTTTTCTTTTTCTCTACTCGCATCACTGGAATTACCTTATTCAATTCACTCTTTGCCTACTTAACATTTATACAAAACATCATTTTCTGCACATTAGAATAAATAAATGCAGTGTTGTATGCAAGTCATATACAAAGGAAATGAAAGGATGGACTGAGGAAAATGGTAAAGTTTGAGAGAAAACTGAAGTCTAAAAATAGCCTAACTAGTAATGAATGAGTTTGTGAACAGAAAAGTAGATGTTTCAGTCCTATTTCTCTTCTTCCTCTTCTGTCACTAGGAAATAAATTAAAATAGTGCCCAGTGGGTAGGGTAATAGCTGTTTGATAAGCTGTCCTAGAAAGGCTCGTAGGTGATGTCATCATCTGAGTCTCATTATGAAGCAGCACTTACCCAACGGTTTGATGACCGCCATATTCTGATCCCTTCTACCACCTTGGCTTACTCTACAGTCACCTGGGAAGGGGAGGTCTCATCAGGGATCCTGCAGGTTAGTTTGGCCTTTGGTCATGTTCTTGGGGATTAACTTGATTAAGTTAACTGAAGTAGGAAGGTCTGCCCTAGGCAGAGGTCTGAACTGTAAGAGTGAAGAAAGCAAGCCGAGCCACTGGCATGGATACTTATTGCTCTGTGTTCCTGATTATGGGTGTGACGTCACCGACCCACCTCAAGCACTTGCTGCATGACCGCCTAGCTATAACGAATTGTTGGAGCTGGGAGCTAAAGTGAACCCCTTCAGCCTCTCTCTCTCTCTGCCTTAAGTTGGTTTTGTCACAGCATTTTATCACAGCAACAGAAAAAGAAACCAAGAAGTGTTACTTGGTTTCAGTTTCCTAAGAATATCTATCAGCACCTAATAAATTATTTCATCTCCTCTTGGAGGGAACCTCCAAAGGGCAGAAATTTAGTTCTTCACTGAATCTCCAACAAATACAGTTTCTGACATATGGTACATGTCCAGCTAGTATATGAATGTTAGGCAGAATTTCATTTCCAAGAGGTATAACTTGGTTTTGTTTTGGTTCTCTCAGACCTTGTTCTTCCCAAAGAACGTTGGGGTTGCCTTCGACATCCTAAAAACCAAGTTATATTATATTCCTTTTGACTGTATCCAAAATAACCTTTCTGAGATTTGAGAAACATACAATACATATTTAATGCATAGGAGGTGGTGATTGCACAGCCATGTTTGTTTGGTTGTTTTACCTGTATACATATCTTTATCTCTGTCGAGTGTGGTGAATTGTTTACCATTATGCCACATCATAGAATCCCCTGCATTCCCCTGGTAAGTTCCCAAGCGCAATCTGTAAAATTCGCTTTCAGATTCCAGACGAAAGCTACTGTATTCCGCATAGACCTTCTTGTCACTCCAGTCTTCTAATTCAATCATCAACTTATAATTGTCTTGATTACTGAGCTTATAGATATTGTCCAGTCCAAGCCAATACTCTCCATCAATGTTTCCAAACCCTTTCTGTTAATAAACACAGAAACAAGAACGAACATATAGGTAAGTATAGAGATAGTAAATGTTGCTGCAGCTACAAGTTAAGTTTAAACATGAGTAGATTGAGGATATTGTCCATTTAGAGTAACTTGACTTCCCTGGTAGACTGACTTATTTCTGTAAGTTCATTTCAGGGCCACACTGTCACTTTCTTTTGCTTTGTTTTTTTCTTAATGTCAATACTAATTTACATAGCTTCAAACACTACAAAGAATAGCAAAGGCAAACAAAATGTATTGATAGCTACTGAAAACATTGACTGAACTACCTCAATCCTTCAGAAAGGTTCCTGATCACACCCTCATCCAGAGCTGTGTGTCCTCAAAGTATGTGTATACTGTCTCAATGTTAGGCAGGCAGAGCATATACAAAATCATGACCAATGTTCAATCAAAATAATAGTGTTAGAACAAACAATCTAAGTATTGTAATAATCTTTAATGTTCACCCTGTGAAAATTGTAAATTACAATCTGAAAGAAATGGAGTACCTTATTTTAGTAAGCATTTGACATTGGAGGTTTACAGCAGAACAGATTTAGTAAACTTAATTTTAACTCAGGAGTTTGTCTTCAAAAAGACTGCAAGGGAAATGTGTGTGTGTGTGTGTGTGTGTGTGTGTGTGTGTGTGTGTGTGTGTGTGTGTGTGTGTGTCTCCATACTTGAGGCAGTTACTTGTTTAGAAATTTCCATCATTTCTGACCTGAATATATTAATGTTTCATCCTTAACTTCCAGTAAAATTTTATTTATTATTTTTTATTATTTATTATTTTTATTTATTATTTTATTTATTTTATTCTTACTTCATAGTTTTCAACAAGGAGTTAGCACTCTAGAAAATCTATTCTTTCCTGTCTGCTGTCCTTAACTGATGATATACATATATGCATGCATGCATGCATGCATGCATGCATACATACATACATACATACATACATATCTCACTTGCTAGTTACCAACAGACCAGTTGTTATTTCCTCAAATTAATAATCACATGATCTGGTTCTATCTAGAAATCTAGTTATGTTCATAGTTCTACGGTCCATGTCATGATAGAAAGTTAAAGCAAATAGTCTAAGAAGGGGTCAGTTGTTAAAAGTTGTATACTTTGTTATTGTTTAAATACTATAATATTAGAAACAAAAAAAGTAGTTGCATTAAAAAGTGGAATGGGGGGGCACGGAGAGGGAGAAACGATTGACATGTGAAGCAAGCTTGTTCCTAATTTGAACTAATAAAAATAAATAAACAAACAAATAAATAAATGTGGGATCGAAGGGCTAAAGAGATGGCTTTGTGGTTAAGAGCGCTTGCTGGGTTTGATTCCCAGCATCCAACCACCTGTAACTCCAGTCCCGAGGGATCTGATGTCTCCTCTGACCTCCATGGGCACTGCATTTACATTGCATACATATTAATGCAGACAAAACACCCTCATATAAATAAATAAATAGATTTAAAATTATCAAAGTGGAATTAAGTTATCTTTGTAAAATGTGCATGTATGCATAAGTTATCTAGATTCAAAGGAGTATCTAAAAGAATATCTTTTGTTTTCTTTTCACATTTTAACTTTAGCTGTACAACTAGAGATGAGTATAAACCTTTTGCTAGAAGATGAAAATTATATGGATAGTTATGTTTTTAGCTGCATGTCTGTTTACTGTAGGTCACTATTGCAAGACCTTCTTGGGTCTCCCTTCCGTCTGAACCCACTCATTTACCTTATAATTTTCCCAGTTTCTGAAGAAATTGACAGAGCCATCTGTTCTTTTCTGAATAACAGTCCAACCCCCAGGATCCAAACTGTTCTCACACCATAACTGCATCAGTCCATTGCTGTTCTCAGGCTTAATCATATAAATCCCACTGGCCGAGTGCCCAGCTTCCTTTGCTTGCTGACAGTCTTTGAATGGACCTGTAATTCAAATATTGATTATTGAGAAATATAAAAGAGAAGTATTAAAATAGTTCTTAAATTAAGATTCTTACCTTCTTGTCTTTCTTTACAAATAACCATATTTTATCTGCTATGTGCATAATACTCTATAAAAGTTAAAGAAACTAAATTTAAAATATATATTAAAACTAAATGAAAGGGTGACATCATTCCCACTTTTCAAAGCATTAACTATTTCATCTCTCATTCTGCACTAGACTGAATTTATAAATTTGCACTCTTAAACACAATACACAGTATTGTATTGTCTTTTATATTTAACAAATGTTTCTTTGAAGCTATGGTCTTCATTCTAATACTGGAGTAACCACTGGTAATTTGGTTTTCTTGCCCTAACATATGGACATTAAAGTTTCTTCTGATTTTTGCTATAATAATTAATACTGTGCTAAATGACTTTGTCTTTACCATCTTTACTTTTTTTTCCATACTTAGAAAATATTGTAGGATTGATCTGCTGGTATTACTAAACATATTTTCCTGGTGCCAGATTTATAGTATCTTTTATTTCAAGGGAATACACAGATTTTGTATGTTCAGTGAAAGTAGAGCGTTACAGCCTAGTAAGCTTTGGCAGTATTAAATGTTGTGTTTTCCTTTTGGAAACTCAATCATGTTCATTCACTCATTCATTAAATGCTATGAAGCCTGAAATAAAGAAAATGGAGTCTCCCAAACTTAAGTATTATTTTCACTTTCCCTCACATCCATAAAGAATACATGTCAGGCCGGAGTTAAGTCATGCACCTGTAATCCCAGGTGATTGCCACAAGTGCAAGGTGAACATAGTGAGTTCTGGACCAGCCTGGCTTCAGTGGAGAACCTGTCTTAAAACTAGGGGGGGGGGGAAAGTAGGAATGTTGGTCTAATGTCTTCCTGAGATACTGTCTGAGTTATGGCTAAAAATGATTTTCTTATCAAAGCTGCCAAGTGACCCTATGATAGCTTTCGGTGACCCACAGAGAGTAGTTAATTCAGGTCATGTGAGGTGGCGGTAAGCCTTTGCTCATCCACTCTTCTGCTCCTGGGTAAATGTTCTAAGTTGCTGCACAGTGTTTGCCCTTTTGTTTCATTGTACTGGCCATTCTACATTTTTAGATTTATTCTGTGCACAAATGCCAGAGAACAATCTGCAGGAGCAAGGTCTTTCCTTCTGTCATGTAGGTCCTAGGGACCAATCTCAGATTGTCAACATTGGCTCTTACCTCCTAGACATTCTGTTTTTAGTTAACTAAGATTTTCAGCTTTGTAAATTACAAAAGCATGATGTTTAATCCTTTTTAGAGTCTAATTTGTATATTGTGCAAGCTAGAGAAAATGCCCTCTAGTTGTATTGAACATGCTGGATTTCACTCTACACCAGTGTTCCCAGCCTTTTATTTTAAAAGCATGAACAAATTATGACCCAGAAAAAAAACAAGTATGCTAAATAAAGATATTTGAATAAGAGAAACTTTTTAAAGCCATTTGTCAGTTTTTTTGCTTAATACTTCTAAATTCTGACATAGATTTTTTTAAATATCTGAAAATAGTTTAGTCAAAGTTCTTAAAAGAATTTCTGTTCTATAATTGGATTACTGGAATTTGGGGAACTGTGTGCTGAGAACATAGTGTTGTCCCATTGGATCATACTAAGATAAGTTAATTGCGTTGTATAAATACTGCAGCGTTTCTGTCATTGGAGGGGATTCTGGGGGAGAGTGATCTCTTCCTTCTGGATTGCCCCTGAGGATGGAGACAGCATGTGTTGTTCTTCAGACTTCGTGTCTGGTGTTTTAATGGGGCATCAGTCAAGTTTGTTAAGTAAATGAATCAGTCTTTTTACTTTAAATACAAGGAAATGGAAGAGTAAATGTACAAACTTAAATGTACAAAGTATGAAATTCTCTGCTCCATATTTTTATATTTCATATATAACTTAGAAATTTTTTTAAAATTGTCAGTGTCTGTACTACAGATTACTAGTTAAAAATAAGATAACCTGGAAAAAAACATTTAAAATATTTAAACATAAAAGTAAAATTGTAGCCAGGCAGAGGCAGGCGGATCTCTGTGAGTTCAAGACCACCCTGGTCTACCAGAGCTACTTCCAGGACACCCTGTGGGGGGGGGTAAAAATGTTTTTAAGCAACATTAGATACTGCTTTTTTTTTTTTAATTCTCAAAGTTTCATGGGTTCCTTTTTTTCTCTTTGAGATTTTATTTTTTCATCCATTGTGAAGGCCTCAAAGACAATTGCTTTAAATTTCTTTCTAACTCTTGTTCTTTGCTTCCCCAGTTTGCTGAAGTTGTTTTTTACTTTGAGATGGGATTTTATCATGTCATCCAGGTTGGCCTGGGAGTGGTGGTGTGGTTCAAGCATGTCTTAGAATCTCAGTCATCCTGGCTCAATCTCCCAGATGCTGGAAGTACAGCCCTTGTTGTCATAACTGGCTTAGTTTTTCTTTTCAAGTCATGAGTGGACTTGGGGTTTCAGTCGAAGTATTCAGAGGTTTTCTTCCCTTTTTCCTTTTTGGAGACAGGCCTTGATATCCAGATCCTCCTGCCTTAACCTCAAGTGCTGGAACTGGATGTGTGCTCTGTGCTTATCTCTGCTCAAAGCCGTTAGCACAGCACTTAACACTCTGTCAGCCCCTTTTTCTGTTTTGTTCCTGATCTTCACATGCAAAAGTATGTACTGAATGACTTCAGTACTTTACTTAATACATACATGCTCATTAGACATTCAGTATGGTTGTCAAAGGTTAGGATATAGTCATTTGTACCACAAAGAAATAAGTCATTGCTGAAAACTCTCAAGTTGTAAACATTCATAAACTAAAAATAACAGCTGATTCTAGCCATAAACATACTCTGGATTCAACTGCATTGCATGTGACACAAAACACTACTACGCTAGTGGCAAAGTCCCACAAATAGTGATGTCACTCCTTTTCCTTTTCCTTAATCACCTAAGGGCAGTTTCACGTTAGAGAAGCATGTGCTGTAGTCAGGCCAGAGAAGAATAGCTACATTTCGAATGAAAGCTTTAATTTCCTGCAGGGGAGAGAATGGAAGGAAGCATGGACTCCCAACCCCGTGCTTTGACTGGTCTGCATGATACATGGTAAAGTATTTGTTTATTCTTAGACAGGGACTTTGTCTTCCATTGGGTATCCACAGTATGAGCCCATTTGGGGACTCTCATGTACTTGTACTAAATAATTTCTGATGGTAGTCATTTTCAGAATTTCTTGAATTTTATGTTAATTTAAGAATGTCTTTTTCTGGGGTTGAAGCTTCAGTCTATAACTTTCCTTCTGTACAAGGGCCTGAGTTGGGATCCCCAGTGTTCCCTTAAGTGCTGGCTAACTCAGCCCTGGATTGTGGGGTCAGAGACAGAGAGATCTCTTTAGCTCACTGGCCAGCCCATCTAACCACATCAGTGAACTTCAAATTTAATGAAAGACCCTATCTCTAAAAGGTGGAGACCAGTCAAGCCTTTGGCCACACGCACACAAATGATTTTTTTTTTAATTTAAAAGAATTATCTTTTCTGAATCTAGTACAGACAGACTATTTCCAGGTCCAGAGATAGCTAAATAGTCTTGAAGTTAAGTGGGAGGTGAGAGAGGTTGTAAGAAAAGGTTAGTTCTGCTGCAGTGTGATAGCATTTTGATGACGTTTCAAGCAGAACATGAGGTAAGGATGTGGAGCAGCAGCTAAGATTTGAGCAGGAGTTTGTTGTCTTCTGTGTCTAAGCTAAGAAAAGGGAACACAAGTTAGGTGTATTGGCAGATCGGGGCCTCGTCTAAGCCACATGTGGGCTGTGTACTGAAACACAGCTGTTACAAGTGTCTGTGTCTGAAATGTAAATGACAGGGTGATGTTTACAGGCTGGCAGGTGGGCCAGAGACTTGCCTCAGTCATGTGCTTGATTGCTTCACTTTAAAAGCAGTCTTGGTGAGATGTCTAAAGTTAGCCACATTTTGTTCCTTAATTGTGACTTTTAGGGAAGTTAGGGTGTCTAAGGAGCATGTTTTATTTTATTTTAAATTCTTATTTAAGGCCTGGTAGTATTTCGCTTAATGACATAGAGGTGCTGTGTGGACAATGCACATAAATACTGCTCCTCTCTAAGCAGGTTCCATGTTCCCTTCTTGTTGTTGCTGATTCTCTAACTTGGCTTCACAAGTATTTACAGTGCACCTGCTTGACTACAGTGTGGAGTTCACATTTTGTGCAAATATATACTTAAAAGTGGCCCTTTGACTTATTTAAGTTGTTGTAAAATATTTAGAAATCACAGTTTGGGATGGTGACAAAGGCCAGGCTGAGTTGTCCCTGGCTTCTGCCTGGACAGGCATGTTCTGAACTGTGTCAGATTTGAGACTAAACTTCTCTGATTGAAACCTTACTTCCAGCACTCAAACATTTTAGGTTTCTAGGCAATTTGAAGATAGTATCAGCCTGTTTTAATAGCTAGTTTTTTGGGTTTTTTGTTTTGTTTTGTTTTTTGCTATTTAACAGGTACTTAGATGTTTAAACAAACTAAATAATTCTTAGGTTGTCTGAATCCAGTTTTCATTTGATAAAACCTCTAGTACATGCAAATATAAATTTCTCTTCAACTTTTGACAGTGGACCTTGTGTTTACAGTTTGAATATCTGTTAGTCTTAATTGCTATAAAACCTCAGGAAATTTTAGTTCAGATTATTTTGTGGAATACAGATAAGATAAATAGTGTTCCTCTTTAGTAAAGACAGTAAATGTCAGAACCAGTGTTTGGTTTTTATAAATATACTATTAGCCCATTATATAATATTGACCTTTGCAGAAACATTTTCTTACTGTTGCTTGCATGCCTCTTAAAATTTTTGCTCTAGAATTAGCTGATAGTTTACTTTTAGAAATTAACTTCTCTCTCTGGATCATATTTAACACTAACAAAAATCTTAAAACTACTAGTAGAAAATTATCAGCTTTATTTTTGAAAATCCAAATCAACTTAATGCTTTTCATATTAGCAAACAAATTTACCGATTCAGAAATTTGGGACTTCAAAGAGTTTAGGCAGGAAAGCTATATACTTTCAGAGGGTATAGCCATTCCTTCAAAACCAAACTTTGATCTCCCTTTTCTTGCATGCACTGATCTTGAAATAGGCTTCATCGATCCCCTGTGATACACATTTTAGCTCTTCTCAAAGCAGAAAACTAGGTTGTGTGTGGTGAATTTGACTCTTCAGTACCTCACATAAATGGAGTCCTGGTCTTTGTCATTTTGAAATTGGCTGAATACCCTTTTATGTAGTACAGGTTATTGTGTGTCTTACATTATACATGTAGAGACCCTAGAATAACTACCTACATGTACAGTACAGTAATGATTTGCTTGGAGCCAGAACATATGTGGGCATAATAGCTATCTGTTTTTACTTGTTTTGTCTAAGCATCCAAACAGTATTAGATACTTTTCCCTAGAGTTGTAAAAATAATTTTATATTATATAAGGTGATAAAATAGTAGGCTTATTAGCTGTTGCTGGTAATAATGTATATTTGTTAGGAAGCGGGGCATTAGAAGTGGGAGGCATGTGACAGGCATCTAGTCCATTCAGTGCTATTCTTACTCAAGGCATAAAGCCAATCCACTTACCCAAGATCTGTAATGAAGGAAGTGGCACTTGTTATAAGCTGATTGTATCCATAACTTTGTTTATAGACTGAAGCAGAAGTTAATGTTGACTGAAAATAATAATGAAAAGGTTGTCTCTGTGCCTTAATTTTTATATTAAAAATTGATTTCTTAGGACTGCTATTTGTACCATTGTTTTTCATGAGGGTGAAACACACTTTAGGGGATTGGGCATACCAAATCCCTGAAATGAATTTAATTTTGTGAATTTTCTTGTACTGAAATTCCATGTATGAAAAACCTACAAAGTGATGCTTTCATTTTGTAAAGCATTTTATTGGTTTGTTATATAACTAAGATCACATCTTCATTTCTGCTAAAATTGATGATGCCATTGACTTAAATTTCAGGATGTATTTAGAAAATTCAATGGCAGTTGTTTCTACACTTCTATAATTGTACCTGCCATAGCCGAATCAAAATACTCCTGAGTCATCTTTCTGCAAATTCCATATCAACACACCGATAATCATATATCTTAAAAGCATGATAAACTTAGTTTTGAAAAGGATGGGAAAGATAAGTGTTTTCTCTTTTCTAAGTCCAGTGGATAGTTTTGTACATGTCTTTGAAAATTAAAGGGCTTGGGTTGCTAGTTAATGGTCATAATTTACCTAATTTAATGGTACCTGGTTGGTCACTGCTCTTAACAGTTTTGTTTTCATGAAAATCTTTAGAGTAACCATTCTAAGAGGCTCTGTGTTATCTTATCATCTCTTTTAGTACCTACAGTTGAGACACAGTGTCCATCTGCCAGAAGGGAGCTTATATTTTAGAATGCATTTCTCTTACATGTGCTGTGGGTTCTTGTAAAGGTAATATAATTCAAGAAATGTATGCATTAAGATAGTAGAGGTATTTGTGGATATATACAACTACTTCAGGCCTGTGGAGGTCAAAGCAAAGCAGTGAGAAGAAGGAATTCAGAAATTGAGACAGAGCTCTCAGTATCAGTGGATTTGTAATGTTGACTAAAACTGGTTGGAGCACAGGTTAGAAATTGTTTAGCCTTGGAAAATAGAACCCTTTTTCTCTTGAGGTAACAAAGCTAGGTTTTGTATAGATGTTTTGAAGTTGGAAAGAACATGACCCCAGGATCTGATTAGTTATAGAGCAGTGTTAGGTACCAGACTCCATTGCAGGCTTGAGGAGAAAGAGAGCAAAATGTGAAATATTCTTTCTGAAAAGGGTGAGGGCAAGAGCACAAGAGGAAGCAGAAATGATGCTGAAGGGTGGGAGGAGGTGGAGCTGCAGCTGCAGGCTCAGGGTGCAGAGCCTGTTCAGTCAGTTAGTGCATTAGTGGTCATTCCTCTCATGGGCAGCAGCCTCCACTGTAATACTACTTTAGAAATTGAAATTTTAATTGAACATGTGTAATGACATCACCACACAAGAACAAGGGATTAGTAAGAATATTGTTGCATAAATTGTATAACGTGCTAATTTCATTCTTCCATTTGACCAGTAAGAGATGACTCACCTTCATTGATGAAAGTCACTGCTGGAATCTTGAAAGGGCTTTTTGTGGGAGCTGTTGCCAGATCCGGTGGTGGTATAACATCTCTGGGATACCCTGGATCCCTCTGTATCTCATTGCCTCCCAGCAGACCAGGCGTGTACTGGGGGCTGTTAGGAATGTGTTGTGGCACAACCTGGACAAGAGGGGGAGACACATGGGTGTCTTGTCGGGAAAATATCCTCAAGCACTGTTCTTCCAACAATGTGATCATCACAGACTGGTTATTGACAAGATCAGTCAAGGAAGCATATTTCACCTCTAGTTCCCTGTACCTTGTCGCCATCTTCAGCATTTCTGTGGTGACATTCAGGATTTTGTTTTCCAGATGGGAAACCTCGAGTGAATTGTCTCTTTTCCGGATAATCTCGTGTAATAGTTGCATATAGAGTTGAGTGACTCGAGAGTTCATGTTCCGGCTTTCCTTTCTCAGCAGCTTTACCTCATTTACAATGTTCCCATCTACATCCACCACCAATTGCAGGACGTCTATCTCTCGCTTCTGCCTAGAAAGCACATCCTTCAGGTTCTCAAGGTCCATCCTGGTGATCATGTCTTTAATAGTACCTCCATCTTGACCTTTGGTGTTGACACAGATTGGCCCTGTTATTTTTTGCTCAGGTACCAAGAATGTGTATGAACATTTCTTTGCTTCCTCTTTACCGTCTGTGGCACGGGGATATCTCCTTTGGGTTACTTTTTTTATTTTGAACTGTCCTCCTTTGCAGTAACCAATGCCCAGCAGAAAGAGTAGTACACCTAGGGTCCAAACAAAAGCCTTCATTTTGAAATGAAGTTGTACCACAGCGTCTTTTGGAAAGCAATTGAGTGAAGAGAAAAAACATAAAAAGAATTAATATGAATTTACACGCAGATCAAAATCACATTGAGATTCCATCTTATCCCTGATAAAATGGCTATTATTAAAAACATATTAAATGCTGGCAAAGATGAATGTTGAGGCACATTTTACATACAAGTGGTAGATGAGAAACTAGTATGGCCACCATGGGAACCAATGCAGAGGTTCCTCCTACAACAGTCAAGTCAGGCATTGGTGGTGCGTGCCTTTAATGCTAGCACTCTGAAGGTAGATGCTGGCTGATCTCTGTGAGTTCAAAGTCAGCCTGATCTACAAAGGGAGTTCTAGGACAACCAAGGCTAGACAGAGAAACCCTGTCTGGAAAAATAAAAACAACAACGGAAAAGAAAAAGAAATAGAACTGCCATATGGTTGAGCTGTTTGACTTGAGAGATATTTGCTCACCCTTGTTTATTGCAACATTATTCACTATAGCTGAGTTATGGAATCAGCCTAGGTATCCCTCAAGAGAAGAATGAATGAAGAAAATGTGGTATCCATATACAGTGGTTCAACTGTAAAGAACAAAATGAAGTCTTTTGCAGAAAAATGGATGGAATTCAAGTTATCTTACTAAGAAAAATAAGCCAGACTCCAAAAGGCAAATACATGGAACCTAGGTTTTATATAGATGACATTCAAATCTAACATGAAAATGGAGAATTATGAAAATAGGAAATTATTCGGGGAAAGGACTAGAGGAAATAATGGTGTGTGTATCAAAATATATGATATACTTGGACAAAATATTGTAAAGCCTGTTGCTTTGTTCAGTGAATGTAAGCTAGTCATTTTTTAGAGCAGTAATATTAAAACATAAAACTCCTGTATTCATTACTTTTCTGTTGTTATGATAAAACACCATGACCATATGGGAGAAAGTATTCTGGTTTACGCTTCCAGAGAGGTAAGATTCTATCATAGTGGGGAGGCCTGTGGGCAGAGGCAGGAAGCTGAGGAATCACATGAGTAAAGACAGCGAGCTAGAAGTGGGACACCTCCTAAACCTACACACGCGCGCGCACACACACACACACACCAACCACACACACACACACACACACACACCAACCACACACACACACACACACACACACCAACCACACACACACACACACACACAGAGAGGCACGCACACATACATATACACACACACACACACACACACACACAGGCACGCACACATACATACATACACACACACACACACACACACACACACACAGCCACACACACACACACACACACACACACACAGCCACACACACACACACACACACACACACACAGCCACACACACACACACACACACACACACACAGCCACACACACACACACACACACACACACACAGCCACACACACACACACACACACACACACACAGGCACACACACATACATATACACACACACGCACGCGCGCGCGCAAGAAAATGCCACCAGCTGGGGACCAATATGGAGGAGATTCCTCATTCAAATCACCACAGCATTTAAGGGAACACTGAGTGATTGATACTAGTAAATTAGATTTAACTTGAATTCTTAAGTTCACTGTTAAGTTAGTATTTTTGATATTTGTAGATATTTGCTGGAAGATATAGATTCCCCATCTCTTGTAGCTCTTGCAGCCACCACTTTATATTGCATTTTTGTTGTTGTTGTTCCCAAGCTCATTGAAGAGATTTTGATCAGTGCCTATCCTGTGAAAGGCACACTTTGATGTATATTAGAGCTTTTAAGACTCTTCCCCCCAAAAGAGTGCCTTCCCTTAGAAAGTTTACTCTATCAAGGCTATGAAAGCAGTACATAATGTATATAAGTAATTAAGGCATTGCTTGGTTAGTACTGCAGTCTCTAGGTGGTCTTACTAACTAGTCAGTGTTTCAGAGTATAACAAATATCATATAAGACTAGTTACATTGGTCTGCAGTAAATACCATGACTTTTTTTTTTAACCTACCAAGTCAAACATCTTAGACTGATGGGAAGTGGAACAGTTTTACCTTCACATGTTTTTGTAGCATCGGCTTTTGAGATGGAGACGGGTTTAAGAATGACAGGGTGCTCCCAGTCATTGTGGGTCACTAAGTCCTGAATTGCAGTCATGCATATGATTTAAGCTTATAGGTGATTTAGCAGGTCTTTTCTGTTAAGAAATCTAGTGAGTTGTATTCAGTTAAAAATTTTTTTTTAATTTCCTAATTTTCAACAGCATTACCAAATTAGATATAAAGAACCTTTTTGTACCCATGTGTGTGTTGAAGAACAAAGCCACACTAACACTAGAAACAGGTCTAGATTTTGGTTCCCTGGCCCTCAGTCAGTATTTGTAGCAGCAAGACTTCAGTCACAATGTGCTCTTGGACTGTGTGCTATTGGCTGTTTCAGATGAGAAGTACCTATTCTTTAGAGTTCAGCACTGGAACTCTTTCCAGGAGCCTAGATCTCTCCATTTGTCTTTAGATAACTCCCAGATGAGTAGTGCAGTAGAGTGGGAAGGATTGGGGAAAGTGTGCCCATGTGATCAGGTTCATGAACAAGCTGTACCCACAGCTGTTTGATGCTGTCTGTTGTCTGTAAGGCTAGCCCTGGGCACCCTTGGAGCTTTTCTTACCTGTTTTTCAACTTGAGCCCTTGCTTCTTGATTTAAGAGGTTAGATCCCAAGTTGTTTAGACATAGAACTGACAACATGGCAGTACTGAATACCTAGTGGATGCTCTTAAGGAGATGATGCCACTGCTTCAGCCCCTTACCAAACTATTGACATCAAAACCCAGTGAGGCAGATGATTCCATACTCATTTTCACATGAACTGGCACCCCACGGTGCCCATAAAGTCACACAGCTATTAGAAGGTAGAGCCAGGCTGGGTGGTGGTGGCCACACCTTTAATCCCAAGGCTTAGAAGGCAGAAGCAATCAGATCTCTGTGAGTTCAAGGCCAGCCTGGTCTATAGAATGAGATCCAAGACAGCCAGAGAAACCCTGTCTTGGGGAGAAAAAGGGTAAAGCCAGAGTTTGAACCCAGACAGAAGACACTTGAGTTGATGCTTTTAATTAACCACTTAATCATATGACTCTGCTTTCAAACTGCTTCCTGTCAGGAAACTAAAAGTGGTATCACTCTCAAAGGAGAAAACACTCAAGTGCGATTCAAATACTAGACCTGCAACTTGTGCACTATTGTGTCACATGCAGGTCATTCTTACGCAGTCTGTGTCACTGTTTCTACACTTTGTTGCTGTCATTCCTCTCTGCCTGTACTTACTCTGTCAGTTGGTGTTTGTGTAATCTAACTTACAAACCACACACACACACACACACACACACACACACACACACACACACCAAACACACACAGGATTTTCTTAGTGAAACATGGACTGTGAGCTGCCGTGAAGACTGTTGACACCTGCACTCTAAAAGCAAGTCTCCTTGGTTTGGGTGTCTATGGATTAGTGCTGTGTTTAAAGAGGATAGATAATGAAAATGAACAAAGAATGGGAAGAGTGTGGGAGGTTATTTGGTGAAATAGTAAATAACATTTACATCAAAGCCTTCTGTTGCTGACTGGTGGCAAGAACACACAACTGAGGACTTGACTCCTGTTATGACACTGGTAACTACAAACAGAGTACATGCTTTTGTCACAGAGTCATCTTTTACTCTCCAAGAGTTACCTATACTAAAACTGATGACACATTTAAAGTTATATTTACAGGAAATTCTTGGAATTTAAATGTAACTATTAAAAGGAAAAACAGGAACAGTAAACATAAAATAAAATAGAAGCCATTAGCCTCTCGGCAAATATATATCACTTTTCCTAAATCTCCTTGTATAATTTTAACTATAGGACAGAAACTCTTGACTCATAAAAATATTTAAATACTTTCTAGAATGAAATAAGCTACCAAGACAAAGTAACTTTAAATTTAAAACTTGAGGATTTTTGGTGTTTGGGTCTATTCTGCCTTGCATCACAACGGTTCAGAAAAATCAATCATAGGACTTAAGATGATATTAAAAGTGACAATTAAAAGCTGCTTATGGTTGTGGTGCTTGTTCTATGCTTCCTTCTTACAGCAGTGATGACCTCATTGTCCCTTAGAACAGCTAGGAGACCCATTCTTAAGGAGTAGACTAGATTATATCAAGAGCAAAGAACCGATTTTTAAAATTTGTTACAATTACATTTTCTAAAGATAGTCTCTTATTTAATGTTTCCCACACATGTTCAGTTTTAAAAGTGAAAGATCCATAAATCTGCATTACCTCGTAAAACCTTTCTATTTATGTGAAGTTTTCCCAGGTCCCAAGAGAATGTTATAAATGAGTTACAGTAACTGAAACTTGCATCTGTGTCTTTGCCTGGTGGCTTTTAGAAAGAAAGGAAAAATAATCTGTGCAGTTGCATTCGTTTTCTTAGCAGTATTTCTCTTCGTAGTTGCTGTATTGCCAGCTGTAATTAATAAACAGCTGGACTTACTTCCTCTGACCATGCCCTGAGACATGAAGGTATCTGTGAGAAGTACTGACCAGGTGGATGCAGACCTTCCTGGTTATATTTGAGGAACTGACCTGAGAATAGCTCTGGAACTGTCCTCCAAACAGATAAATCATCATCTGTGATTTACAAACACACACACACACACACACACCCCTACACCTACGCCTATGCCTATGTATGTCTGTCTAAGGCATTGGGTGGCCTGCTTAAGTGAAGTCCTGCTTTTGTCATGACAAGCAATAACAGATGACAGTGTTTCAAATCCAGTATTACTTAGAAATCTTATCAGACTCCTATAAAATTTACATGTATTTAATGGAGCTTTCAGAATTGAGTTTTAATGTTGAAGTAAAGATGGAAAAACAAAACTGAACATTTTATCATTATTTGTTGAAAATTCTTACCACTAAA